TAATATTAATAATTATTATAAGAAATAATAATAATTTTTAATAATAATTATAATTAAAATTAATTATAATAATAATTACAAATTAGAATTAATTATAATTAATATTAATAATTTGTAATAATAATTATAATCAATTATAATAATTATTATAAATCTCAACAATAATAATTATAATAATAATTACAATTATAATAATAAAATTTATATATTAAAATAAAAATAAATTATAATTTATTTTAATAGTTATTAGAATAATCATTACATATGGAAAAATTTAATAATTATATTTCTGATTCAGGGTGTTAGCAGACCTGGACAATCTAATGTCAGGGACGACGACGAGGCGTTCGATGACTATTATGATGGTTCTGGCACCCGACACACTAGAAGTCGAGGTGTCAATGCTCCGTTCGCCAGGACAGACAGACGATGATCGATGAGGCTCGGAGGATACAGATTCGTCAGGCTAGCCAGAGTTCGAGACCCCCCGCACCAGTGCGAGATGTTCATTTTGAGGGCCACCCAGATAGTTCGCGACTCCATGGAGTCCTCCCGTACGGTGAGCATGGATTTTATTATCCTGGCCAGGCAGACAGTTCGATGCCCCTGGCACCAGGACCGTACGATCAGTCGAGATATGCTTTTCCCTGCTACGGAGGGAAGTCGATACCTCCTCGCGCACGCGTACCATTACCCTATGGTCAGCAGGGGTATGCTGATGAGTCGTACGGCGAAAGGGAGCAGGGTTCAGAGGAGTGTGACTCGGACGACTCCTCAGATGATCAGGACCACGCACAGCCTACGGGGCCTAGCCACCCTCGTCCTCCTGTACAGCCTGTTCGTTCGGTACAGCAGGTTCGTCCAGTACAGGCTGTTCGTCCTACACAGGCTGCTCCTCAACGATAGGCTGGGGGACGTTTTGGCCCATCTACATCCTCATCAGGTAAATAATTTACGTATTTATTGTTGTTTAACATAAATTATTTTCACTTAATCACAACAAATTATCGATACTGTTAGAAAAGTATTATCGGCCTGCTCCTCAACTACGGTATAATTATTTTGTAATTTAGAGGAACCATACAATTAATTAGTTAGAAAATTATTATAATTACTTTTATTATTGTTATAATCAATTAGTAGTAATGTTACATAATAAATTAGTTTAAAATTTTCATTATATTTTATTAATGTAAATGTAATGTTTGTACATTAATTGAAAAAAAAAAAGAACGAGAAACTTATGAAATATGATTTATTAAATATCTTTTATTTAATGCATCTGCCAGCAAGTCAATATATACAGATATGTTGTATTTTAATGCAGGTACTAGCAAACGAGCTAGGACCGATGATGCACCCTGGATCGTTAAAGACCCAGTGCCCGGTGGGCCCATTGATGGGAGTGTCATCCCTAGCTTTCTAGGGCACGTCGCCTCCCGCATGTGGAATGGAAATTTGAGGGGGCCCCTGAAATGCCACAACAGACTGAGAGCGATCAAGAATCTGAAGGCTTGGCGTGAAGAGATGTCTTCCGATGCGAGAGCTCTTCTCGACCAGACGGGCTGTCACATTTGGCCGACTCCATGCACATCCACTTGGACACCCTACTCCTTTCTGCGTTTGTGGAGCGATGGCAGCCGGATACTAACTCGTTTCTCCTGCCTTTTGGTGAAATGAGCATCATGCTACACGACGTCCGGGCCATTTTGGGCGTTCCCGTGGAGGGAGCCGTGGTCGCTGAGGACCCAGATCCGGACGCCTGCCATGGGCTCTGCATGTCGATACTTTCGGTCATTAAGGGCGAACTCATAAGTTCGTTCTGGCAGCATGGTTCGGTGTCCGAAGCCGCCATTTCGGGGGCATTCAGGGGGAAAGGCCGGCCGGCTAAGGATGAGGCGGGTGCCTGGATGTGGGTGATGCTGGCTACCACATTGTTCGTCGACAAGAGTGGTAGTAGAGTGACCCCCAAGCTCCTGCACGAGGTGCTTGACGGCTTGGATTTGATTGGGGGTTACTAATGGGGATCGGCTACGTTGGCATACATGTACAGACAGCTAGGTATTGCCAGCCGAGGGAACTCTGCCCAGATGTCGGGCTGCTTGACTCTTCTGTAATCTTGGATATATGAGTATTTCCCCGATTTCCGATCCCGGGGGCGTCTACCCATCGGTCCTGACTGTCTCACACGATCACGATCGTGGAGCGTAGGGAATGCGCCACGGTCAGATGATCGGCTCACAGCCATCCGTCGGCGCCTCGATAGACTCACTACCTCCGATGTACGTGAAGTTATTTTATTTAAATTTAGTTAAACGTTATTTAAAATAATATAATTATTGTTATAAATGCTTTTATGCAATTGTGAATAAGTGCAATGGTTGCCATACGGCAGCTCCAGCCCAGATGCGATAGAGCCGAGGACTCTTTATAGCGGATTGATTCGATACCGCGATGTCGTCGAGCCGTACTTGCCTGCGCGGTGTCTGCGTCAGTTGGGGTATGTCCAGACTGTCCCTCCCCCTACATACCCGCCAATCAGTGCAGTACGTGCTTGGGAGTCTAGGAACTACAGGGTTGAGCATTCTGAGGCTGCTGCAGTAGGTGCCTAGACCCAGTTCCCGATTTCTGGGACGGTCAACACCGGTATGTTGACCCCCACCACACAGGATCGCGGGGAGGCGACTGAGGATTACCTGCAGTGGTATAGTCGGGTTTCCCATCCAACTCTCATGGGCGAGTAACTGCCGAACGAGAACGAGGTCCCTACGCGTGTCAATACCGCCTATGTAAGTTGGTTACTAAATTTTAATTAATGTTATTTCATTACAATAATTTTTTTTTAATAAATTTTAGTCATATTTTTTTATTCTTTCATTTTTTTAGTAGGTGGACTGTCTTTTGAGCATTACATCGACCATGCAGCAGTTCCTTGTTGAATGTTCGGAGGCAGCGGAAGTTCAAGAAGATTTTGCTAAGTTTAAGTTGGATTACGACAATGCCCAATAATGATGTAATGAATGTTTTTTTTTTATTATTATTATTGTAAAACATTAAGTTGAATGATTTTTTTTTATTTATTATTTGTAAAACATTAAGTTGAATGGTTTTTTTTTTTATAGTATATAGTATTTTTAATACATAATATATACATATATGTTATAATTTAACTTCAATTTCTACCTATATGTTTTAACTTCCATTATTTTTCATACAAATCACGCGTTAACGATCCACGTGACATGGTAGACACGAAGGACAAAAAAAAATCACAATTACAAATGTAGTACCACTTCGAATGAAAAATATACCGCATTTGCTTCTGAGTAGTACCACTTTTAGATGGACTGGTACCAGGTTTTGTTACGCAAAAATGTATTATTTCAATCTCAACATTTCCAAAAACAAGTACCACACCTATCGAAAAGTCGTACCACCTTTGTATTGTAGTAGTAACACTTATTAGGTATTCAGTACCACATGTTATGGACACATTAAAACGTCGAATTTTGGTCTCGAATGATGTTTATATGACCCAAGTTCACTATCACATTAGTTCATATGTGATTTGGAATAATATCAGTGATAGCCTAGCGCGGCCTAATGTTATAATACTATTTCAAATATTATTTTCTAAAAAAATTTGTTTTTTAAAATTGTAAATATTAATTTTATTTATAAAACGTATTCCATGAATACGTGTTTTGTTTTTTTTAACATAAAACATATTTCGGTAATACGTTTTTTCCTAATTTAATTAACTTAATTACGTTAATTAATTATTTTTTAGAAAAACGTATTTAAGGAATACGTTTTTCCCTTGAAAACGTATTTTCTAAATACGTTTTTCCTTGAAAAACGTATTTTTAAAACCCAGTCGTAACTGATAACAACATAAGGATATACGTCTTGGCCTATCAGTAGTCTCAACTTCTCTAGAACCCAGTCGTAACTGGCCTCTTTCTCGTCCCTGATGAGTGCATACGCAATTAGAAAGTTCTGGTTGCACGGTGTCATCCCAATCATCTCGACCAACGGCATCTTGTACATGTGCAAATGAGACTAAGAAGAGAAAAAATATAATCAAATAAAAGTTAACTTAATCAAACACACTATTTAAGATTCATACTAATAAAGTATTTATAAAGTAACATACCAGTTGGTTTTATACGTGGAATCTATGCCGACATACCAGTGATATGTCCGGAATAGATTGATCGATGCAGGATGGGCCATGAATATATGCGTCAACGCTTTCGTGTTCGGATCGGATTCTGCATAAACTGTATACTCGCTGCTCACGGCCAAATGCATAAGCTGGGAAGGAACGT